ATGAAAAAAAATTGTCTCATAGCCTTGGCTTAATACGTTTAGAGAAGTTCACATTATCATGATATAAATTTTTGCTGCAACAATCATCATTGCTGTATAAGGAAATAGCATGATGCTTTTACGCAATAAGCAAACAGACGAACATGAATGTTACTTGATAAAATAATATGTGTAAGATTATTTGCAGAAACATTTTTCTAGGATTAGGAATATTATGGTCACATAGAAAAACAATTTGAAGATCGAGGTAGCCAAGACCTTGAAGACAAAAATCGACTAAATTATTTAAAAGAATCTATCTATCTTACACGTAATGAATCTTGTCTTAGTTAAACGATGCTTTACATTTCTTGCGCAACTTCCTTCATTTTATAATTATATAAAATCGTATTATATAAAATAAATTCTATAATTTTTTCTTCCTTCCAATTGATTTGTTTTTATTTGTAAAATAGACGATGATTTAAAAAAATTTTTATCTAATAAAAAATTAATTAAATTTTTATCTAATAAAAAATTATAGGTTTGTAGAGAATTCAGTGAATCGATAAGAAACTTTCATTTTTTATCATAGACTGCATCAATGCACCTTGAAAATATGTCTGTTAAAACAACAAGTTATTAAAATTAATTACAAAATAATGGAAAGTGTGTAACGACTTGGTTTCAATATAAAAAAGAACAACAATTATTTACTTATCATACTGTATTTATGAATAGAAATTTCTCCACGGAGAAAATTTATTATTTTACTAAATATACTCTGTCAGAGAGCATGAACAAATGTATTGCATAATAGATTTTCATTTTACTACAAGAAAATTCCTGTAATGAATAATCTTTTAATAAAGTTAGAAAATCAATCCAATCTAATTTAATATATTAATAATGATAAAAAAATATTGTGCGATCTCTTGTGATCCTAATCTTTGATTTAAATATTCAACGTAATTTTCGCCAATAAAATAATTTCCAAATAAAAATTACTTATAATTCAATGCGATAATATGCATGTAAAAAAATTTAAAATCCAAATTATTTTTAATTAATTTCAAAATCATTTTGAAATTTTTTTAAATGCTATATTTTTATTTTTAATAAAATAGTAAATATTTAAATAATTTTAATTACCTTTATACATTTAATTATCTATGTATTAAATTCAGACATGAAATTCAATTATTAAAACAATACAAAATTATATTTTATTATAATATATTATATTATATTTTAATATAATAATTATATTTTATATTTTTTTTATCAGAAAAAGAAATTAATTTTTTATTATATTATATTATTAATCAAAAATAAATAAAACTAATGAACATTTTAATATTATTATATATAATATTATTATATATATGTGATAAGCTAAGAAAAATTAATATTAAAAAATATTTTCAATAATTATCATATGTAAAACATATTGTGCACTATACAAAAAAATAAATTTATAAGTAAGTATTTCCTTAATATTGAATAGAAAAAGTTGAAAAGTTAATTTATTAAATATTATTAACTGTATTAAATTGAATTTAACATTATTATTCATTTTTTTATTTATTATAACTTTTTAAAAAGTATTTATTTCAATTTGTAATAATAATCTCTTAATTATCAAAGTTCCTTTTTTAATTTTTAGTTATTTAAAGACATTTAAATAAAATATCCATATAAGATTTAAATATCCAAAAATTTAAATATTTTTAGCAAATTTATATTTAAATGATATACATAGTAAGTAATGAATGAATACATGAATTGTAAATGAATATGCTTAAATAATTAAGATATGCGAGATCTTAGAAACAAAAAATCATTGATAAAATAATTTACCGATTCAGATTATCAAGATATAACATATAAAATAGTTTATTAAAAGAAATAAATAACAATGTAAAAAATATTTAAGAAAAAATATTTAAGATAAAATTTATGATATATAATATATAATAATATTAAATAAATAAATATTAAAATTTTTTATACATTTAAAAAGAAAGAAAGAACATTAAACAGAACAAAGCTTCATCTTAAATTAAAATTATCGCAAATATTTTAAATTTTTCTTTCATATGAAAAAATATTTAAAAATAAAGAAATTTCATTCCTTAAAGAATTAATAATGTAAATATATAATCAGATATAAACAATTTATATATCTTCTTAAGAAAGAATTTTTTCTAATGATTTTCTACTAGAGAAAAAATAAATATTATTCTTAATTAATCAATTTATTTTTATTTACTAAATATATTTTTGTTATATTATTATAATTATATATTGGTTTATGAGACAAAATAATATAATTTAATATATTTAATATATTTGGTTTATTGAATGGAAAATTTCACTTGATTTATGAAAATGAAATATAAAAAAAAAAAAATATAGAAAATTTATTTTTATGATATAACGTTGGTTATTCTGTACCTAACCTAATGCTATACATAGTACAATATTTTGCAACCAAGAAATTAGGTTAGGACTGAAAAATTATTATTGCGTTTCAGAATTTATTCGTAATTGTTACTCGTAATAGTACAATTACAATACATAGTACAATTTATTACACATAATAGATAATACTATATCAATCAAATATTAAAATGTTGCGAATTGGTTTGAGAATTATACGCACTGCTATAGGAAGCAGAGCTTTTGCAAATGCACCGGCTCAAGAACAAGCAATCTCAACAACTTTCAAAGTTCAAGATCCAAAAGACTTTAATAATCGTGTTAAAAATTCTAAAGTGCCAGTGATCGTTGATTTTTTCGCAACGTACGTATATACTTTAATTATTGAACGATCACTTTAAATGCATTATAAATAATTTATCTTGTAGATGGTGCAATCCTTGTCGCATGCTTACTCCTCGCATAGAATCTGTAATTGCGGAAAAACAAGGAAAAGTTTTATTGGCAAAAGTTGATATTGATGAGAATAGTGATCTTGCATTGGATTATGAGGTTATTTTCTATTTTTAATTAAAATTACTATTTATTCTATATTTTTTATTTTAAAATAATAAAAATTAATTTTATATAGGTTGGATCTGTTCCAGTCTTAATTGCAATGAAAGATGGAAAGGTTTTAGATAGAATTGTTGGTCTTCAGGATGTAGATAAACTTAAACAATTTGTAGATAAGTATTCAGAATAATGTAATCTATTTTAATTGTAATTTTCTTATGAAATGATTTGTAGTTATTGGGATATTTGTATAATATTATATGGTAAAAAATGTACAATGCAATATATAAGTTTTTAATTATAACATATATCTCTTATTTTTATAGATTTCATATACATAGGAAATTGTTAAATAAATTATTTTTCATGTAATAGTCAGATAAATTTAATTATTTAAATATTTACAAAAATTTAATACATCTATTTCATTAATGAAAAAAACAATATTGAATAATATATAAAAAGAATATTCAATTTCAACAAAAATTATCAAATAATTGATAATTTTTAAATACAATTTTAGATTATGTTTCAGTAGGCAAAGCTTGTAGAAGTCTTCTTGCTCTCTGATAAACAACAGATTCCTTATTTTTATTTTCTTCATTTTCTTCTACTTTCCTTATAACATCCATACCTTTTTTTAAAAGTTGTTCTCTAGCCATACCTTTACATCCTTCAAAATATTCTAAAACTGTTGGGAAAATGTCATTTGGTATAGAAATTTCATCTAACAAATTCTCAATTAACCAAATTTGTCTTAATTTTTCAAATTTCCATTCAGTTCTTGCATATTTCCACTATAAATAAAATTATAAAAGAAATATATAATTCTATATATAATATTAAAAATATTAATTATCTTAAAAATAAACATCATTGAAAAATATAAGTACCTTTGAAACATAATTAAGTCCTTTTTTCATTGCTTCTGTTTTATTGGCCATTCTTTTTTCATTCTCTTTTTTTTCAGCCTTTTCTCTTTTCATCTGTCTCTTAGAAGGTTGTTTTGGAGTTTTTACATTATTACATTTATGAAGTTCTTCTATGTTATTTATATCATTTATTACATGTATACTATGAACAAAAATACTTTTAATTTAATATTTAAAACAATTAAAATAATAATATAAATGTGAAATCATTTACTTTGCTTTCTTCTTTGGTGGTATTATCTTATTATTTATTTCTTCTTCATCTTGATTTTCATTCATTTTAATAGAATTATTCTTTTTTGTTTCAATTACTTTTGTTTCTTTAATTACTTCATTATTATTATTAATGGTATTTGATCTTTTTCTTTTTCCCTTTTGTTTTTTATGTTTTACTGCCTGGTTATTCATATCTTCTTTTTGATTAGTATCATATTCTGAGATATTAATATTATTTGTTTCAGTTGTAATTTCTGTAAATAATGAATTAAAAATTAATGAATTTTATTTTATAAAAAATTTTGAATTAAATTTGTATCATCTTAAACCATATGTAAAATTATAACACTATAAAATTTAAATAAGATTTATTAATTATTTACCTTCTGATTTATTTATTTTCTTCGTTCGTTTTTGTAATTTTGAACTCTTAACCTCTAATTTTGATGTACTATCGATCCCCATGATATTATATAAATCAATAATATTTTTTATATATGAATATAATTCTGAATTTATGGTGCTGTAACATTTAGTATATTTATATTAATATCTTTCTTTAATATTGACTAAAGACTAAATAATATAATATGAGAAAATAACTGCGTTCGAACTTAGTATCGCAATATCGTACTCTTATTCATACAAAGTATTACGCAGCATAGAATAATATAAGAATATCAAAAAGAATTATAAAAATTTCATATCTGAAATTTGTCCTTTACAAACATAAATTTAATAAAAAAAAAATAGTAATAAATATTTATGTGACAGTTGATAAAAATAATATTTGAACCTTCTTTCTAGAAATTAAAACTGAATAATTTTTAATATTTGTAGAAAATGATGCGCATAAAATGGATTGAAAATATCTTAGAACTCAAGAGTAAAAGAACATTAGAAAAAAGGTATATTTTTAATTACATAATGCGTTTTTTATTCATATTCATTCTTAAATTATTGTAGAAGGTTAGAAAAAGTTAGGAAATAAAAAATTATTTTTTTATCTTATTCTTTATCTTCTTCTTATTTCATTTATTTCAATATTTATTATATTATTATTAACTTACATTAATTTATATTTATTTTGAAATTTTGATAAAAAAATTGTTATATTATTTTAGATATGTTTTTCCTCAAATATATTCTACTTTAAGATATAGTATCACTTCAAAGAAGAATGAAACAATTAAAAATAAAAATGATTATGAAGATGATGATATTAAAGCAAAAATGCCTATAAAATATTCAACATCTAAAGCATCAAAATTTTTTTCTGGAAGTACATCAAAAAATACTCCAGAACATCAAGATACAGTTATAATAACATGTTTTGGTATCTTTTTATTGTATTTTTGTGTTCTGAGAGAAGAAAATGATATTGATGAAGCTATGACAAAAAATATACCACCAGAAATTCTTAAACAAATATATGGAAAATAAAAGAAATAAAGGAATGTAAAATAAATTTTTGAAATTAAAAAATAGAAATGAAGTAGATCATTTATATTTCATAATTTATATTTCATAATATAAAATATATTTTTCCAATTAAATAGAACTTTAAATAAATAATTAAAATTCATTTATTATAATGGATATAGTAATTCACCCCATATTATGTTATTTATTATCTTATTCCATTCTATAGGTGGATGATAAATAATTGTATCTGGTATACATTTATTCCATGTATAATTCCATGATGCTACTACCAATGTCATTATTAATATTATTGGTCTTTCAGTTCTATGTGAATATATTTTAATATTAACAGTACCTAAAACATAATCATATGTTATACATACATAGATAATTCAATAATAAATTAATAATAAATTTACTTACTGCATGTACTATAAGAATGGAATAACCATTTGAAAAAAGCATATACAGGCATAACTTGAAGATAAAATTTCATTCTTGTTAATAAACCTCCAAAGCTAATTAATACTAATCTTAACTATAAAATAAATTTATTAATTATTGAAAAATTATAATTATTGAATATAAATATAATAAAAATTGAAATAATTATTGTATACCATTGTAAAAACTACATAATAAACCCAAGTTGTTGGCATCAGAAACAATAAAATAGTAAATAATAAAGTTCCTACAAAAAGTTGATCAGGTTGATATTGACAAGAATCAATTCTTTTTCTTAATGGATTCTTCTTTTTACCCAAAAATAATCGAAACAAAGCAGTAATACCTTTTAATTGAATATTGAAAAGCCTAAATAAAAAATTAAGTTATTATACAAATTACTATTATACAATACTATTTTTGCAATATTATATAACTTATTTTACAGTACCTTGCTGCATATACATAAATACAATATGCATGAAAACTGACAACTGCCAGAAGATCAGCTGCTATTGCTATTTGAAATGTAATACCAAGTCTTCCAAACAATACTAGTACTTCAAATGTGAAATCCATTACAGGTTTCATAAATATTAAAAATGTCCACCACATATGTATGTGATATAAAAAAAATTTTCCAAGCATATTATTTAAAGCATGATTTAATTTTAAACCAGCTGGTACACCCATTAACCAATTAATTAAATCTTTTAAGAAAGTTACTACTTTCTGTAAAATATTTGCAAAATATTATATTTATCATCAATTTAATATTATTTTTAGTGTAGATTTCTAATTTACCTCTGCATTATTCAAAAGTATCTGAGAAGGAGAAGTATATTCAAAGTAATATAACAATAATTGTAATATAGAGATTCCCAACAACATATCTATTATCAGTGCAAAAACATAGTTACCAGTCTTCAATGTGAATTTTTTGTTTTTTATTATAGTAATCAACATCCATTTTGCATTTTCTAACCATCCATTAACATGTAAACCAAGAAAAGAATATCTTAAAATTGGTAATAATTTATTAGTTATTTTATTAAGAAAAAGAACTGGATAAAAATATAAGAACATATGATATACAAATATTATTTCTTTTATATAAGTATATTTTCCTTTCTTCTGTATTTCTCTTTCAACTTGTTTGTCTTGTATAATTTTCATTAACTCATAAAAATGATCTCCATATATTGCTCTTTGAGCAAATAATTCTGTTTCTTTAAAAACTAATTGATCATATATTATAATAACTATATGATAATGTAAAATAGAAATTTTTTTATTATTTACAATAATACTTTTTAGAATGTAATCATAAATATTGTCTTTAGAAGATATAGGATTCAAACATATATTAAGCCAATCTAAATATTTTTTATCCATATGTTCTTGTTTGTCTTCTGTGTTAGAATAATATCCAATTATATTGGCATATTTCATTGTTTCAAAGTTATTTATTTTACATACTCCAATGATATAAAATTTTTTAACTTCCGTACTATCATCATATATTACTTTACCAAAAATGTATCCAGCTTTTTCTTTATAAAGTGTGTTTGGTAAAAATATTAATAGACTTTTCATCATAGCATTTAACTTATTCACTAATTATATAAGTTATATATTGTTCAATAAAATAAAAAAAGAAATACTTTTCATGAATTCATATTAATACACATCAAAAATTATTTGTAATTTTTTCAATTTTTATCTATATTTTATCTATATATTTTCAGTTGATTTTTTTTCATAATAGTTGAAATTAATGCTTCAAATAAATATTGAAAAATATAAAATATTATTTCTATTTCCTTTCTTTCAACTATATAAATATATCGATGTTATTCTTTCAAAATATCATCATGTATTGATGATATGTTGACAAGCAGTCAGCTGTTTCCGGTTTGCAAAAATACAGGTGACTCGATAGAAATCTGTGAAAATCCCGGCTAATTAATTTTAATTAAATAAGCGATAGTGGACAGACAGCATCGAAGTAAATAACGAGTGTGTGACGAAGCTTTAATGTACGGTATTTTTCTCTCTTTAATTTTATTTTCGTTTAACGGATAATGTTGAAGGAAGAGCTTGAATCAAGCACGAGAAATGGTGATAACTCGCACACGACTACACCGGACTCAGGAAGTAACGACGTGGCCAAAGAGTCGTATCAGAAGATCGCGATAGAAGAAAGATTGGCAAGCAAAATGTTTTCATACGCTAGAAAAATCATTCGATTTTTTCTTGCGATTATCTTTACGACTCTAGCTGCTCTACATAGTTCGTAAGTTTTAGGTTATAGCAACTTTTAAATATAAAATTTATTAATATTGAATACAATATTATTTTTTCATTATAACACGATTTTTTGATATTATAACAGATGTTCCATAATTTAAAAATACAGTTTTATAAATAAAAATAAATTGTATTTATTTTTAAGTAATAAGATATTGTATGCATTATTATTACATGTATTTTATATACAACCATTATTTTGTTGCAGTTCTCCCAAAGTATCAAAACCTCCATTAGCTAAACCATTTTTTAATCAAAGCTCAGTTGTCTTAGATTTTTATAAGGGACATTTAGGAGCTATGATAGAAAGAGTTACAGAAGCAGATTTCAGTTTTGTTATGTATTATGCTCCATGGGATGCTGAAAGTCAAACTATACGACAAGAATTTGAAATGGTTGCTCAATATTATCATTCACAGGTATTAAATACAATTAAATTTATAATTGCTTGTTAGATTATAGAATATTTTATATTAGATAATGAAATTATCTGTAAAATGTAATATCTTTTATTTTTATTAATTTGTAGATTTTTTTTGCTGCCATTAATTGTTGGCATCCGAGCTCAGAATGTAGAACTCAGTATAATAAAATACAAAGTTATCCAGTATTAATGCTTTATCCTTCAAGAGATTCTGGTATAGAATATAGAGGTATACGAACATGGCCATACATGATAAAATTTCTTAATACAATTATGAATCCCATTGTTAGAGTAACAAATAAAGAACAATTAATGAATTTACGTGTTAACTATGATGTAAGTATAAATAAATAATTTATATTTTGAATTGCAGGATAAATTTTTATTTATATAGAATAGAATTATTTGTTATGATTACAGGCTGTAGTAGTAGGATATTTTAATTTTACTCGATTAGATAAAACTCCAGGTTATAAAGAATTTTATAAAGCTGCTCTACGAACATTGGAAGAGGATCCTAATAGAGAACTGGTTTTTGCCATTGTTACTAATGCATTATCTAGTGAAATAGATTATAACATTTATAAATTTCCATCTGCAAATCTATTTATGTGGAGTGATTCTTTAGTAAGTAAATGAGAAAAATTTTTATATTTGTATAATGGTAAACATATTGGATACATAAAGCAAAAACATTTGCATATATAGCACAATTAAATGAGTTTGAGAATTCAAATGTGTAGAGGTATCCAGAAGATTCTGAATGGACTTCCGAAAACATATTAAATTGGATAAGCAGTTCTATTCATCAACCAGTTCTGTGGCTGCAACCTCCTGGAGTAAAAGCACTAACATTAGCACCATATTTGAGAGAAGGACCTGTACTTTTTCTCTTCACACCTCGTAATCCTTTGCATCCTGAAAATTATAATTACAATCTGGTGCGTAAAATTTCAAAGCCAATTGTGGAATTTGAACGATATGAAATAAGAATTACATTGATTCTCTAGATCAGAGAAATTGGACTGCAGTATTATAATTGTGCAAATAATGTCTTAGCTAAAGAGATAATTGAGCGTCTTAGTTTTAAACGACGTGTTGCTATTGCAAAACATTTGGAGCAAAATAAACAATGTGCAAAATATTTGAAGGAAATGAAAAATCAAACAAATGAATCCACTAATAATATTTCGATTCAAAAATGGATTAATGATAGTTGTTGTGTTAATGTTGTAATGAATAAATGTTTTTTGTGTAAAAAGAATATATTAAATAATGTAGAAATGGAAACATCTATTTGTAAACTTAATTCTAAAAAACTTGATCATGTTTGTAAAAGTTCAGATATTTTTAAACTTTTAGTTATACAAAATTTACAACAAAAACGTGAAATTTGTTGTAATCAAGATCATATGACAATAAAATATGAAGAAAGATTTAAAACCAAAAGGTAGTTTTATTGAAATTTTTATTAAAATAATTTTTTGATTAATATTGATTAATATTTGATTATCATTTATTTTTGTAGTCAAAAATACAAAATATCGGCATTTATTACAAAAGAAGAGGACGTACAATCTGCGGATGCAATAAAAGAAGCACGCTTAAAATTCAACTGTAAAAAATGGATAACTGGAAACAAATATCATCAACCTATATTTCCGCGAGATAAACTTGAACATCCGAATATAAACTTAACGAAATCAGTATGTAAAACTAACAAAACATTGACATTAATAGCAATTGATAGTTTACATTATTATTATTTCGCGGAAGCTCTTGGCATAGATCTTTTAAAAAAGAAGGATAAAACTGCTATTGTTATATTAGATGTTGCTGTAAGTATTTGAATATATTTTTATATTAGATATATTATTAATTCTTAAATATATTAATTCAAATTTTTTTCTTTTAGCATGAAAGTCAATATGTTATGCAGGAGGATTTTAGTCGATATACACTTATACAATTTATAAATAATTATACTCAAGGTTTTTTACAACGTACATTACGTTCTAATAATTCGAGACGTTTTGTCCAAAAGTTTAAGACCAAAGTTAATTGTAAAACAAAAGATGCACAAAATGTGTGCATACCAGAATTAACAACTGAAACTTTTCTTAATACTATTTTAGATTCAACAAAGGTAAATTGGAAAGAAAGATACAAATTTATTATGAAGTTAAAGAATAATATTGTAAGTTGATTTTTCAGGATGTGGTTGTAATGTACCATTCTCCTTATTGTGCATTTTGTAGTGCAATATTTTATGTATACTTGACAGTAGCTCATTATTTACATAAAATGGATCATCTTTTATTCGTAAGGGTAGATGGTGATAATAATGATTTACCATGGGAATATAACATGAATCGATTCCCGTCTATTCTTTTCTTTCCTGCTAAAAGGTAATTATAATTGTTATAATATTCATAATTGTATTCCATAACAGTTTTCTTATCTTATTCATTTTAGAAAAGAGGATAGTACGGTATATCCGTTTTCTCTGCCAATTACTATTCCGAATCTTATAAATTTTATCTTAGCGAATTTGGATGGAGATTCGCATATTGAAGCGCTTATAAATATTTGTCAATCTGGAGCCGCTGGTGTGATTCCAGATGCATGTATCGCTCGAACTCGTTGGCTGTGTTTAGATATTATTCAACAACTACTTCGAGATTATCGAAAATTAATAAGGCATATTAGTCTATTAGGAAGAATAAGTGCTAGAAATAAAAAAAAAATTATTTTACTAAAATTGGCACACATTAAAGATATACATTTAATATTAGGTTCTACTATTGATCTCAAAGAGGAGCAACATAAAGTAAAACTAATTAGAAAAAAATATAGAAAATATTATAAAAATATTAGATCATTTGAATTAGATAGCAAAATAAATAGTAATAATAGTCAAGTAGAAAATCTTTTTCAAGAACAAAATGTTTTTGAAAAAAATATTAAAAACGAATTGTGATATCGATTTACAGATAGATATATTATAATGAATATTGTGTTATTTAAATTCTTTTATGACATTGTACTAAATGTACAATACATACCTCAGAAATCATTTTATTTCACAAATGTAAAATATATTCAGTTGAATTATATATATCATATATAAATAAGCATCATAATTTATAAAGAAATATTCTGTAATATACTTACAAAATACTTACAAATAACTTAAAAATATTTAAATGACTTTAATACAAGACATTCCCCATTAAATGATGCAAAAAATTATAACATTATATACAATTTTTATCATATTCTTGTAAAAAATGTACATTTATAATTTTTTATTTAAATTTTTATAACAATTTTGCAAGAAAAAAATATTTATACCTACTATTCAAGTAAAGATAGTAAGTCATTGATAAAACTATTTTTTTTCAATACATCATGGTTCTATAGAGGGAGTGTACATACATTAGAATTACTCATCTTTAATTAATATTCATGATGTTTAATATGCAACTGAGAAATAAAAATAATACTACTAGAAATATAAAAAAAAAAAAAAAAAAAAAAAAAAAAAA